CCGAAATGCAGTTCACCGTCTCTCAGGGACTAATTTGATAGCGACATCGACTATTGACAAGATTTCGTCAATTCTCAAGTTACAATTGCTCCCGTTTCGAATCCGATAAAGTCACATCTTTCGCGAAAGTTTCCGTGAAAAAATCTCGAAGGGTCAACCTTTCCAGAATTTATACGTGTATTTCTTCGACGTAAAACGACCGAGAAATTTTTTTAACGAGAATTCTTCACCTCCGGCAATTTCGAAACTTTAATCGAACAGTCTTGACCTCTATAGGATAATCATAACGCTGCTGCCCAATTAGAACTGCGATAATTGAAATTAATACCCATAGCTCTGCTTCTACGACACACTTTCCTCTTGGAATACTCGGTTTCGCCGAGTAATAAATCTACTCGAACTAGGAATTTATCCACAAGAATGTTAGGCATATGTATATTTTTAACAGGGCAGTAAATCAAGGAGAAACAAACAATTTGGGCAATAATAGAAGACTGATCGCTTTCCAGGGAATGGAGGTCACACCATCCTTTGATCGTCCTGCCATCATAGCTGAACACGCAAATTGACCACGCGACGTTATGGCATTCCCCAAATGACTACTACAACACGTTATGCCATTGCTCAACCGTTACATGAATGCACATACCGCTGCAACTCCTCACCCTCGACAGTCTGACAAACAATGCATTCTGACCTACAAAGCTTTAAGAAGCACCTACGTATTGTGTACACGCTACATTTGCCAACGATCTCTCTCTCTCTCTCTGTTCTATTCTCCGATGCCTTTCGCACAGTGCTCAGGAAACATTAATAAAATCCTGACAATCATTTTCACGCACTTCTTAGCACCGGCGCCGAAGTGACCAAAGAACGAAATTTTTCCTAGTGTCGGACACAATTTCGGAACGCTTTCGAGCGTTTGATCTCTGTATTTATGGAAAATTCGCGAATTCGCGTTATTAAATTTGGAAGAAACGATTTAACTTTAGAAAGCGAATCCGCTCTGTATTTAGGAAATCGATGCCAAAGAAAATTCGCGTTATTAAATTTGGAAGAATTTGGAAGAAACGATTTAACTTTGAAAAGAGAATCCGCTTTGTATTTAGGAAAATAAAGGCAAAGAAAATTCGCGAATTCGCGTTATTAAATTTGAAAGATTTTGAAAGAAACGATTTAACTTTAAAAAGCGAGAGAGTGTTATTTGCAATCTTTGAAATCTTAATCCGCTCTGTATTTAGGGAAATAAGTGCAAAGAAAATTCGCGAACTCGCGTTACTAAATTTGGAAGAATTCGAAAGAAATAATTTAATTTTAAAAAGGGAAGAAAGCGTTATTTATAATCGTCTTATTTGCATTTTGGAAATTTCTTGGTACGCGGTAAAAAGTATTTTGGCAGAATTCTTATGCGGAAGTAATATCGAGAAATATGGCTCGCTACGAACAATTCTCGAAAACCCGTTTGGAGCATTGAAATTCTCAGGACGCGTTTTCGAAGGAAAATTTTCGGTTCCAAGACAGGGGGGAATTGTAGGACAGAAAAAGATATCCTCAGAGACGATTTCGTTAAAGTATATGTAGATATCTAAGTATACCGTAACTTAGAGATGTGGTGCAGTAAAGACGAATTTGCAATTCATGTTCCCACAGGAGTTTCTGGGGATTCGAGTCGCAAATTCCTTACAAAGTCGTCTTTGCGGCTTTGTCAAGCAACGCCTATAGATTTCGTAATTAGTGGCTTTAGAATTGCCTGCGTATACGCAAACCTAACCTAAAACTTCCTCCCATTTTTCACGCAAACCTTCAACTTCGCTTCGAATAATCATAACTCCGCCAAAACTGAACGCATTCGTTCAAAATAGGAACAATTACAATCGATTTCGCTAATTTATTTGTTTCAACTTTTGGCGGGAATTCGGCAGAATTTTCGATACGACTACGATTCAACGCTGGTGAACAGCTGATCGCCAGGTAACACCGGCAAAGTACAAATTCCCCTTACCCGGAAGGATAATAATTTAGGTTAGGGCGAATCTCGCAAGGAGTACACGTGTCAAGTGGAGATATCAAGATGCTCTTGTACATGTTACAGAGCTTGTGGGCGGCGATTGAAATGACCGCAATGCTCTGTGGCGATGTTCACTTGGCCAGGAACAGATTCTGACCGTTCTCCTGCGTTCCATAAAATCCGAATAATCTGAATAAGTTGTGGCAGAGGACGTGTATAAATCAAACTTTCCAGCGGAATGTATTTTCCGATCGAATCAAATAGCTGATAACAAAATCGTACAACAGAGAACTTCTTCCTTGAACAAAATTTCCAATACTATTGTTGTAAACTACCGTACTTTCACGAGTCAAAATTTGGCTCTTCCATTGTTACACGGTTGAATCTTCTTGGAATTTATTTGTCTCCTGTTACGGTGAACAGCAGGTTAGAGGATCTCGAAATTTCGTTGGGGAACGATCACGAATAAATTGGACGGTATTACTTCTGCATAAATAAACGTTCGCGAAAGGAAAAGCACCCTTTCCACGTTCATTTCCATCCGCAGCCAGGAACAGAGGATCGTGGCAAGTTTCCTTCTCTCTGGCGTTTGCCAAGAAAGTCAGAAAAAGCGCAGGAAGCGAAGTGAAAGATAAACGAGTTTTTCGTCTGTCAGAGTTGTTGGCAGCCACAGGGCAATTCTGAGCGATTCGTGCCGTCACGTCGTGGTCAAATTCTTTTTTTTCCCTCTCTCGTTACCGGAAGATGGACGTGTACCCGGTGACGTTCCCGGTGTACCCGAAGTCGCCATCTCGTTAAACTTCCAAGACTTTGGCCTGGGACGCTCGAAAAATTCCGAAAGACTCGAGAAACGAGGAGAAAAAGGCGAGGAACACCTTGGATCCTTTGCCAGATAGCGACGAAAAGAGAGAAAGAGAGAGAGAGAGAAAGACGCAAGGTCGTTGAGACTGAACATCAAAAGAATTTTAGTAAAGCGACAGGAATTTCATTTATCCGTTCTATCGTTTCCTCTGTCTCACGTTGCACATTGATGTAACGCCAAAGTCTCCCCGCGACGGTACGTGCTCTCTCTCACATATTCCAAAAAATAATTCTCTCCTTCTGTTTCGAGTACAACGCGATTCCATGGGAAAATATTACAGGCCGCGTGGAAATTTGCATATTAAACTACTGCAAGTTCGAGCAACGGAATACTTTAGAGAGAAGATAGAGAGAAAAAAGGTGTAACCTCAGAATTTGACGGCTCTTTACTTCCAAAGTTCAACGTGTTTTAATAATCACCAGTCTAGCTTGCGTAGAATCCAAATTACGCGACTGATCCTCAAGATTGTTCGAAAGAAACCGCGAACGTAGGTACTTTGTATTCGAGAAAAAATGATCGGTAGTATTAACAGGTACGAAAAGTTTTCGAGAGACGGTAAATTATACAAGGAACGCGGAGAACAACCGCAAGGATTTAGATCCGACTTTAGAACGGCTTGCGCGGGCTCTTTGAAAGGGGTGAGAGCAGACGATAAGATCCAATTATCGAAAAACAGTTTATTTCGCGGACAAGCAAAGGTATAAGCCGGACCAAGAAGGGAATAATCCTTGGTATATTTCTTGGGAATGGACCTTCGTCCGAGAGAACGTCCAATTGTCACCGTGTGAGACGTTGGGAAGCAAGACGAAGTACCGACTGTTCACTTTCCGACGTATACAGCACGAGAACCGGGATGAAAATCATTTTAAAATCGTTCTAATGGAAGCTGGAAATGAGGAAATCACCGAACGGATATTTAAGAGCTCGCGAAGAAATAGAATACTTAACGAGATTCTATTTGCTGCCCTTTTCCCTTCTTATCCAGCGGCAAGGATTAAGAAAAAGAGCGAAGAAATGTGTTTCGAGTGGAATTTCAGAATGGAAAAATTCGCGTTCATTTCTGTTAGCGAGATAAACAAATTTGTATTCCCTTCTATTCGAACGTAAGCTAACAGTAAGATTGCACGTTTCTAATTTTCAAACGAATGGAACTTTAAAATCGCGAAAAACGTCTTCTCGCACGATTCACGCTACTCGTGTCCCTAATTCTCTTTTGCATTGCTATATACATAGAAGAGCTTAAGGTCAATTTAAATCTGGCCTCACATTATCACGGGCGCCGATCTTGTGGTAAACCAAACGCTAAACCGAGCTTAAGTTTTGTTCAACCATTCTATAATCCGTCTAATAGACAATGTTTGTTCTGATCCAATCATCCATGTGATGCCATTTTCGAACGAAGGATGCGAGCAAGTTATTTAACGTGTCCATCTGTAATCCTCTTGGTAACCTGAATTATAATGAATTAATGTATCCCTGAAATTACATACCTAAATACAAACTTTACTTTAAATTTCTGTAAAAAAAGAAGAACTTCAAAGATTCCTCTTTCATTCTCCTATTGCGTTAATTAATTGTATGTAACGGTAATTCTCTGATATAATAACCAACAGTTAATTGAGTTTACTTTTTTAACAAAACGATAACTTCAATTCGACGTTCGAGAAATGTTGCAGAAACACTGGATTTATTCAAAGTTGCGAGAAAAAAAAAAGAGCTTTCGGAAAGAGAACAGTGCAATTACTCACGGTGATTGATGCACTGTCCAAAATCCGGCGAGATTCGAATCATAAATCGCCGCGGAATTCGATAAATGATTACAAGATAATTGCGAAGCCAGGAACCACGAGTGAGGCTATTTTTCGCCGTTATTAATGACCATTCGGACAATTTCTTTGTCGCTCTCCTTTAGTTACAGCAAAGACGTAGTTAGTTAGCTTATTACGTTTTATTAATTGCCACGACCTAGTTAGTAATCGCTATAAACTCTGTAATATATCGATCGGCAGATGTGTACAATCGGCACGTAGAATGTTTGTTATTAGTATAATTAAAAGAAAAAGTTTCGCGGGGAATTATTTAACCGTTTCGACGTAACAACTGGTATAATTAATATTTCTCGTGTTTCAGGACGAGAAAAACCAATTGCTCATCACGAATCTCTGGCTGAAATTGGTGAGTATTTGTATTTACGAGTACACTATTGAATACAGCTCGATGGAAAGTTTGGCTAATTATTTTTGCGCTGCACTCTTAAGGTTAATTATACGCAGGGTATTTTATATGATACTTAGTACTATGCACAGGGTATTTTCTATAATTACAATATAGTTATCATACTTAAACTAGGCTTTCTTCGTGCAACCAAACTGAAGTTTCAACGATTTCTAAGTGATTTTCTAAGGAAATAATTATATTTATTTGTGCAGATTTTGCACCGTTACGATTACAGTGAAATTTCATTATTTCAAAACGAAGCACTAATTTTTTCTTCGTGCGACGACTCAAGTTCAACGATTTCTGAACGATCGGGTTTCTTAAATGAAATAATTATATTTATCTCGACAGACGTTGCACTGTTATGCATTAAAATCACGAAATTAGAGTGAATTTTCGTTATTTCAAAACGAAGCACTAATTTTTTCTTCGTGCGACGACTCAAGTTCAACGATTTCTGAACGATCGGGTTTCTTAAATTAAATAATTATATTTATGTCGACAGACGTTGCACTGTTATGCGTTAAAATCACGCACTTGGAATGAAACTTCGTTATTTCTTCGTGCGACGACTCAAGTTTCAACGATTTCTAAGTAATTTTCTAAAGAAATAATTGATCAGATATCGCGAAGATTAATTATGCGCAGGGTATTCTCTATAACCGCACTTTAACTATAATATAAAATTACAATACTGACACTAGGCTTACACAAGGTTTCGCGTTTAGTTCGTCGTCCTTCTTGCATGACTTCTCGTATACGACTGGCGAAATGTCGAGAAGGCCCGTTTCAAAACATTTCTTTCGTCCAACTATATTCGAGGACGTTATCGTTTAACGTACACACACCTTCTCAACAAGCAATAACAATGCGAATAAGAAAAACTACTTCGAACCACCTCTGCAAGAAACTACTGTGCCTTTTTTCATAAACATCAAAAGAAAAGTAAACATTTCATCGATGAAATCCAAACGGTCCTCTTGTTTTTCATATAACAACACTTCTGTCTTGCCTCAAAATTTATATCACTGCAAGACAATTTCGAGCGAAATTGAAACGTTCGAATTTATTAAAAATAATTCGATACATCGGAAGGAAAATATGTGCGAATTAATGAAAAACTCTGTGTGTTGCTACAAGGGAAATTAATTAAAAGGTTTCAATTGATGTAACAACGTTACAGTGATTTTAAGGTTATTGATTTAACGTTTCAATTGTTACGACTCGTGAGACATTTTTGAAAAATTCGCATCAATCGTGTAGTATATGTATATAATTGAGAACAATTAAATACCAGATGCTTTAAACTTTTTTTCGAGTGCTGAAAATTTTATGTTGCTACGGTTAAAGATTTCACGACTTTCTGTCTGTAACTGCAATAAATCTGAAGATTCTTCTATCTTTCGATGCATGTCGCTTCTTTCTCCATCAACCGATTTCGATGAAATTTTCAGCATGTGTAAAATTAACATAGATCCACAAAACGTATGTTTCAAATTTTCATTACAATTTTTCATTTCATTACAAAATTTTTTGTACATACACATCCTCTAGTACGCTAATCCTAACTTCTCAAAAAATCTCAAGCCGTAATATCCAATTTTAAGAAAGTTACAGTGTCCGAATATCAGTGGGAGTCACTGTATACATAAGAAATGTCCCTAAACCTACCGTTAAAACACAATCAACGAATTTACCAACCAATATTCGAACTGTGATGCCCGGTTTGCTCCAATTCCTCGAAACTAGGAGCAGATATTGGGATAACACTGAATTTAAACACTTAAGGATCGTCGTTGCGTAGAAACAGAACTTTATTTGCCAGAGGTTTAACGTTACGTGAAGTACGCGTGGTAAAACAGAGAATGAACACGGAAATGGAGAAAATAGAGCCGTTTAAGGGTTTAGGGAAGATGGACTTTGGGTTATGACTATGTAGGAGAGTTGGAAGGTGAAGAGTCCAGTATGAGTAATGTGGTTGTAAATGATTGCAGGACGAGAATGAGTGAGAGAGAGAAAGAGTGCCAACAAACAGTGCCTGGCTCGTAGGCTCGGTTCTTATAAGACGGACTCCCCACTTCTCGGTTAACGTACTTTTCGTACATGAGTTTATTGTCATTTACTAACTTCAGCCGCGCCAATCATAATTAACGCGGTTCCTGATTCGTTCGGGGTTGGTAGGGGAAAGGGGTATAAGGATAGGTGCAGAAATAGTCTTAAGTCGGTACAGTATCTTCTCCCGTCTCCTCATCTTTCACTTCTAGACGAGTTCTTTCGTTTTGGAGGTTTTTTGAAAATTTTCCTGCACGTATGTATCGGGGCCTCCATACCCAAATAGGATACCGACAAGGGAGAATAGAGAGGGGGTAGTTGGCGTAGTGCGCTAAGCCTCGGTTGGGTCCCTCAATATTTTTCCGTCGCTGGTTCCTACAGTAATGGAAAGTGGGTGACTAGTTGCGAATATAGATAAAACTAAGGACTAAGAAGGAAAATATTTGAGGGTGTAACAGAACGAAAGACAACTACCATCTCCGACGAGCCGAAACAGTCAGAACCTCTGTCTTTCAGAGCCATTCGAACCACCGTTACTTCCACCCAAATCTCCAAAGACTCGAATGGAAGAAATCTCACGTGGCTCTATTTTGAAGTTCGAATCGTGGTCATAACAGATTCTTATCAACTGGAACTATTAATAGAGTCACGGGCAACAGGTACTCCCGGTAGAGTGGCTGAAGTGGTGCACCCTTATTAGGGTAGACTGCCGTAATATTTCCTTTCAGGAGGTTTCGAACCGCACTTTAAAACGCTTGTCGTTGCTCATTTCCAACGGCTTATGCCTCGTCAATCCTCGCCCTCATCCACAACCTCTATCAAGCTGCAGAAAGAACGGCTTTACGATGACCTAAATTCGCAGTTAACGATTCAACGATGATGATGTTTTGCCCGATTGACAAATCGACCGGCCGTTCTCGACCTATGTTAACAATTAAAATCGAACAGAGGCTGCGTCGCGTGTACGAACCCTCCTCGATCTCCCTCTCTGTCGTTGATTGTCGTTCAGTGATTCAGAAATTAATATTTCAGACGACCGCGAATGTTGATGAATCGAACGTGGCAATCGAAAATAGGACGATGAATTTTTGGACCGTCGAAATTGCCGTGTCGTAGGTGTATTGAAAACACCAATGGCGAAATTACAGTGAGGGAAAATTCAGAGTTTCTGTTACTGCAGAGCAGTTGGAGGGCTGATAACTTCGTCTGATATTAACGAGGACAAATTTGCGAATTTACTTTGCAAGATTTGTAGGAAATAGAAGTGTGCGAATGAATATGTTTCTGTGAACGAGTGAAGATTAGTTAACCCTTTGAGGGTAGGGTGGAAATACTGATTACTTGTGTAAGAGTAAAGAATCACAGGCGCTTAAAACGACGGATATTAAAATAACGTTAGTTCACTCGTCGATGGCTACGCACGGTATGTTTTTCCCGTTTTTATACGCTTCTTCAGCCATTAGGGTCCTGCAGGCCGTGGGGTGGGTGTGTCTAGGGCCCCCTGCGGCTCGGGTCCCGCGGTCGTTGCCTAGGCGCGTCGCACGGCGCTCTACACTTGTGCAATACATAATTAGGTCACTATTTACTTCGGTAGAAAAATGTTTTTATCGCTAAAACATATGTGAGTTTGTTGGTTGCGTTCTTAATGTTTTGTGAAGGCATAAATGCCCTCTGTACGATGCTCGACTCGTGAACGAGACTGGGTTCAGCTCGAACTCGGTTAGTATCGTTGCGCTCCCGATGTGTTTATCCCGGAAGGGCGAAATTCTAGTAGTTGGTGTGGTGACGGTGAATAAGAGGTTTCTCTTCGTAAGAATATTTTTGAACTCGTTTATTTGCGGTGGTGCGTGGGTATACATATATTAGGCCGGTGTATGTTGCGATTGGTTGGACGTTGAAGGTGGTGAAAAAGAAGGTCTCGAAAAATGCGGAGGTGTGATTGGATATTAGGAAACTAGTGGAAGGAGAACGTGAGGGTGAAGGTGGTTTGCAAAAGTTGAAATAATTTGGGGAAACCCGGAAAGGTGAAAGGGATAGGAAACATGACCAGGATGCGACTTGAACTGCTTTATGATAGGGAAGGAATTTGTTAGGGGCTAGGAAGACGGCTGGAAAGGACTGTTTATTAATTTACGATGTGTTACTGGCCGGTGGGCTGCGCGACCGGACACCCTCAAAGGGTCAAGGTGAATATTAGAACGCATTAGGTCATCCCGAAAGCGAGAAATATTTTAATAAAAATCAAAGGAAATTCTATAGCGGCGATACAGTTTTACCGAAAAGAAAGCTGTTTTTTTCTTTTTTTCTCCAAGAATCTTTACAATTTGTCCAGCAAGGACATTCGGTAAATTGTAGTATCGGGTTTGGTTAATTAACACGTAGAAATTATCCCTGTGGACAACATCTGTTGAGGCTTGATGCCGTTAGGATAGAAGATCCTTTGGGTGCTTCCTATGCAGTCTGCATACAGTATTGGTTTTATACAGTATTTTTGTTAGGTCGCTGGGATAACTGTCTATTCTTTTTTTATAACTGTCGCAGCGACTAGTGATTTCATCAGAAACTGTTTTAACTTGGAGATCCTTCCGAATGTCGTCATTTCGAACATACCATGGAGCATTGGTTACTGTTCTAAAAATTATAGATTGTAATGACTGTGGCCTTTGCCATGCCCCACATCTCGATGCCATAGGTCCAGATGGGCTTTATAATTGTTTTGTAGATTAAAAGTTTATTGTCAAGACTTTATTTAGATCTTTTGCATGTAAGCCAGCACATGTTTCTCCTGTTGATGTGGATTTGGTCGAACAACGTATGTGTTGTTTCCGTGTTAATTTTGAATTACAGATTGTAATGACTCAATTTTAGCAATGTGGCCTTTGGCATGCCCCACATCTCGATGCCAT